TATAAAGAATATCTCTTTGGATTTGAGACTTTAGTCTTTGCAACTTTACAGATCTTCTTTATGCACCAAGAGCTTGTAACACTCCAAAGAGAAAGGAAAAATTGAAATCGTATCATATGACCCCTTTAAAAACAGATGTGCTGCTTTACATTTCTGTGGAAGCCGTGATATGTTTTCCTGGATTCTGGATGAACAGAAAGTTCTAAAGAACAGCAATTATTTGAAATAGAAATCTTTTGTAATATTATAAATGTCTTTACTGTCAGTTTTGATCAATTTAGTTCATAATTGCTGACAGGGCCGTCCTTAGGAGGGTGCAACTGGTGCGGCCGCACCGGGCCCCACAGAGAATGGACTGAGGGGGACCCCGCTCCCTACCTCGCACCGGGCCCCGTGTCAGCTAAGGATGGCCCTGATTTCTGAATAAAAGTATTAATTTCTTTTAAAAAAATCTTACAGACCCCAAACTTTTTAATGGTTGTGTAGATATGATTTGACCTTTCGGCCTTTACCTTTGTGCAAGTCACAAGAGAAACAAGTTTACGTACGCAACTACATGCACATGCTCAAAATGAATGGATAATTACCTTTCTTTCCATCTCCAAATGTGAACTCATTCTTGAAATACTCCTAGAAAAGACAGATCTATATCAAGACTAAAAATCTCAGGTCTCGTCTGCCCAGAAATCAGCAGTAGAGGGCAGCAGAAAACACACATCTGAAACTCCAACGCTTTCATATGTGAGGCACATGGTCACTGCTTAACAGACTGTCGAAATAACTCCCATTTAAGCCAGTTTAAAGATAATTGGTTTACTGTATCTACCTCTGAGAATAAAAGTCATCCCTCTAAGACATTATAACCACTAACAGAGACCAGACTCCACAGAGCCACAGAAAAAAAAAAACAAGAGCTCAACTTGTTTTTTCATCTGTGTAACATTATTTGCAGTTTGGCTTATAATCCCGTTTAAATTATTAGCATGTGCTTATCTAATCATATTAGTTCATATAGTTTACTTTAGTTGTGGTTGTGATATTATCACAGTATAAACAGTGCATAGCTGGGGCAAACAGGACATTTCCTGAGAATCTCTGTGTATGTTTTAGACTCGAGAGCATCTATTGGATAATGTACGTGATTTTTAAGAATGTTTAAATAATTTTTGGCAGTTATTGGACAAAAGGTGGCACATACCATTCCCACACGGCTGATGGTACAGGTGAAGCAGTGGTTTGCGATGGCAGCATTTCTGGCCTCAATCGGCCACATTGGTTCACTGTAACACAAAACCAGCATCAGCATAATGGAATACAGGCTCTAAGTTATTCCCATGAAAAGACAGCAGTACAACACGATACCTGAGCAATCCAACTGTGGCCGAAGGGTTAAAGATGATCTCAGCCCCATGTATGCTGTACATTAACCAGTTGAGAGGATGGTGTCGGCCATAGCAGATGTTAACTGCAACCTTTTCCAAACTGTGTCTGGAACTGTGTCACGGTGGCCGGTATTCCCTTCCATGTAATATGTTGACTGGACAAGGATGCAGTTCAATTTTAAATCAAGTTCAATTCAGTTTTATCTTTTTCTATCAAAACAACAAGAGTTAAAAGTAAACGTTTTATTTCTTTTCAGTTTATTTCTTCATAGGAACAGATTTGGAGAAACTTCGAATTACATCAGTTGCTCAACAATGGATCCTCTGCAGTGAATGGGTGCCATCAGAATGAGGGTCCAAACAGCTGGTAAAAGCATCACAGTAATCCACAAGTAATCCACACAAATCTAGTCCATTAATTGGCGTCTTGTAAAGTGAAAAGTTGCATGTTTGTAAGAAACAATTCCATCAAGGCGTTTTAACTTTAAAACATATCGTATTTTGGCCAGAAGCAACGGTCTGAAGTCAAAAACATCTTGATGATGTATTTATTAAAAACATGCAGCTATTTGCTTCACAAGATGTTAATTGATGGACTGGAGTTGTGTGGGTTAGCAGTGTATTATTGTGATATTTTTATCAGCTGTTTGGACTCTCATTCTGACGGCACCCATTCACTGCAGAGGATCCATTGGTGAGCAAGTGATGCAATTTCTCCAAATGTGTTCCAATGAAGAAACATCGAGGGTGAGAACATTTTCAGCAAATTAAAATTTTTTGAGTGAACTATTCCTTTAAGATCTACTACTATTTTTATTGCAGGGCACAGATCCCAAATCTTTATAGGAATATCTACAGCACATTAGTCTTGAACTACACACGATCACCTTCACCAACAGTTAATCTGACTAGGCTGAAAATGATCTTTTCTCAGAAAATGACTTATGCAAAGCCATTTTAGTCTACAATATCTGTGACTGACAGGACATTCTTCCAAATATTTGAACTTTTGCAACTAGACCATATATATTCTAATTAAAACTATCAGTGTAAGGTGAGAATAACTCATATTTTATACTAAGCATTATTAAATAATGAATAATGATGCCCAAAATAACTTATTTTATAACTAATAACTATTAAATAATCATTTAAGTTGCACACTATTTTAAAACCACTTGTCATTGACGGCATGTGTTAGGAAGTGTAAGATTCAGCGACTATGTAAAGACTGCATGAGAGATAAGCTTGTGTTTTAGCAGTAATTGTCGATGTCTGTGATATCTGATCATCCACTTTTCAGAAGATTAAAACAATATACATTATGTTGTAATTTAGATTGTGGCCACAGTTTGTGATGTTAGTGTAAATTCATGCAATTGATGCAGCATGGAAATTCATGCAGGGCTAAGCTGGTTTCTCAGAAGAGTTTCTGTGTAAACCTTTTCCAACATTGATTTTTATCAGCCTAGACAGCAGCAAAATCCTCCTTAATTTTAATGAAAACAACAGAATTGAGCCATCTCTGCCATCTGGTTCCTGCAGGTACACTCAAGCTTGTTGTTTCAGGAAAAGAGAGTGGCTACATTTCCTGAATTGAGCATTATCACAGTGTGGAATCGATCAAAGGCACAACATGAAACTGATAAACAGCACAGCTGGGGAGAAATCAAACGTTCTCAACCACTTAAAGTGCCCACAGATCATGTAGTGCAGATACACACACACAAACGCGTTTAACCTGAAAAATGACACCCAACATGCTGGAACAAATCTCTGAAAACAAGAATTTCTATAGTGGCTGCACTGAACAACTTTTCAGTTTTCCAGTAAGATACAGACATACCCATGTGGCAGCACAAAATACTGATAACTGTATGAATATAGTGGGGTCCAAAAAATCGGGGGATTTTTTGTCACTTAAACCTAAAAATAAAGTTTTACGATTCTAAAAAACGTACAATAATATATTGTTACAACCTGAAATGAATAAGAGATATTTCAGATTCTGCACTATTTCTAGGCCACTATTCAAATAAGTGATTATGTGACTCTTGCAAGTGGTCAGATGTTCTTGTTTCCACTGGAGCTCAAGATGCTCTGGATCACTCTCAAGAATGCTGGAGAACATGATATTCAGGTTTTACACAAACTTGTGGAGTTCATGCAGCTTGAGTGCTGTTGTCATTCAAGCAAATGTACGTTTTGATATTCATGCTCATTTTAATACATTAGCGGCCCCAAGTTTGGAATAATTTTAAAGTTTTTTTTTTAATGTTTTTGAAAGAAGTTTCTTGTGCTCAATAAGTCTGCATTTATTTGATCAAAAATTCAGTAAAACAGTAATATTGTGAAACATTCTATTTGAATATATTTTAAAATGTAATATATTCCTGTTACATCATGTGACACTGAGCAATGGCTGCTGAAAATTCAGCTTTGCCATCACAGGAATAAATACAATATTACTGTTTTTACTGTATTATTAATCATACAAATGCATTTCTTTCAAGACCATAAAAAAATCTTTAAAATCTCTATTCCAGATTTTTGACCAATAGTGTATATTGTTACAAGATCAATCAGTGAAATACTAATGGTCTCAGACTTTTGGAGCGCACTGTATTAATATTTAATTTACAGTTTAATTAACTCATGTTAGCTTAATGTAAATGAGTGATGACACTCTATTAATCTAAATACAGAGTGTCACTGTAGCTGTGTTGTTTCACACTGACAGTTGTTTGACGGTTATGCAGTGGGTGACACTGACCTCATTGAAGTCTCCCACACGGGGAATGTGATTCTTCCGTGATTTGCCTAGAACATTGCCATTATTGGACACCACGACTGCAGTGTTCCACAATGTTCCACCATGAATCTCATCTCTCTCCAAAATGGGAGACACCACCACCATGTTGTAGTTTTTGGCCAGCTACAAAATGAAAATCAAGCACATACGGTATCAGCATTAGAAGTAACGACTGCAGAAAGAAGAACACAGCAGAAGAGCCACATGACATTTCTAACCTGAGCTAACTTTGCCTTGCCATAAAAAAGGCCAAATTATCTGATATTTTAAGAGACTTATTGACTTTGACACACAGTGATGAGGGTCTGATTTCCTGTTTTATATATTTTTATTTTGCATGCTGTTCACACAACATGAGTTTGATTTGCTGGATGAAATGTTTTCAAATATTAATAAGCCATGAAAAAATATTAATAAAATGTCAAAATATTTTAATATTTATAATAAAAACAAAGGATTATGTCAAACTACTTAATACAGTTTTTTTTTCTTCAGAATTTCATTTATTCATTGGGGCTTTTTACTCTTCATTATGATATCAGGAAAGACGTATAACCATGACATTTTTATTTTATGCGTCAAAAACAAAATGAAAAACATACTCCACATACTGTAGAAGAGTTTTACTATTTATTTAATATTAATGTTCATCATATAATATTATTAATTTATATATATTTTATTTTGTTATTATTATTGATATTATTTAATATTATAATTTCACTCTTTTACTTCATTATGATATCAGGAGATTTGCATCACCCTGACATTTTTATTTCTCCAAAAATATTAAAATAAATTTTAATTCAGAAATTAAAAACTCTAATCGCAGAAGAGGTATATTCAAGTATGAACTGTATTTTTAATGTATTTTGAATAAATTAATAAACCTGGACAAAAACTTTGTTAATTTTTGTATAATCTCTAGTGGTCTTGAAGAATCTGTATAATGAGCAGGAAAGAGTACAAAAATACCAAAAAAAAAAGTACTTAAATAAGCACTTATTGGTTCTAGAAATGTCATTTTAGGTCATATTCGCGAAAGCATAGATGCGGTTCCTCTGTAAACAATCAAAGGCCACATAATTCCTTAAGAGTTCAGTGTCAGAAGATTCCACAGTTACGTGCCACAGTGCTCATCGGCCTGTGGCTCTCGCCCGTGGTCAGTATGTCCCCGTCCCCTCTGTGGGCTTAACCTCCTGCTATTTCCATTAACAAATCACCAGCCTCAAGGCAGCTGCACGGCACTACACCAGTTAAAGCAAACATGCGCTATATCAAAATAACTCCCTTTGCAATGGGCAAAAGGGAATAAAACGATTAAGTCCGTGCTAATGGAAATACAGCCTTGTCTTGAGTTCGAGGAGTGAACAAATAAATCAATCAGGGGGCTGAGATTAAATATTTGACTATATAACTAAAGATGATGCAAAGGATGATTGTAACTTTAAATTTAAATAAAGTTAAAGTTTTTTTTTTCTCCATTCATTTAACTCTTACCTGAATACAAAAGCGTGTGGTGAGCCCATCCTCAGCCGATTCGGCAAACTCTGTCCAGGGCTCCCTCTCTCGTGTGCAAAATGCAAAAGGCATTGCTATGGATGGAGGACACAGAGAAAATTATGCTTAATATTTTCCCCGAAAGATTTCATTTTTACCAGAACTGAATTTTATTTATGAGAGTTCAATCTGTTGAAATTGACTCTCCTTGGTGTCCAATAAAACTTTGTTTTGCTTGCTGAGAGGGAGGATGAGGAGTACAGTAGATAAGTTTATGGTCATATTTATCATTAGCGGTTGTTGTTTAGAGCAGGACGAAATTATCATTTGTTTACATGGCATTTTTAATGACTACTATGAACGCAAACATGCTTCATAGATTTGCATGGAGACACAGGAAATCAGAGCCCAGGGGTCAAAGGTTTACATGGGAGTTTACATCAGCGCAGCTGAAACGTCATCACTACAGTCCTGCTGCGCTCTGCTGATGTAAACCGGATTCCACTGATGTCTTCACGGGCATGTTACATCACTGAAGGCCAAGAAGTCTTCCGATCCTATACTGGGCTTTATAAATAAGCCCAGTAATTGCTTTGAGGACAACAGGAAATGGTTACAGAGAGCTATGGAATAACAATAACAATAATAATAATAATAATATTTGTGACTAAATATGGGTAGTTTGTCATGAGTCAAACAATGTGACACGCTATTCTTTATCTAAAATTATTTTTAAAATAGTTTTAAATTAATTTATAAATATTATACATGTAGATTTGAATCATTTTATATATTGATTGATTGATAGACTCATAATTACACCACAGGACTCTTGAAGTGAACTGCAAAAAGCTGAAACATTAATAATAATCATTAATTACTTAAGATTAAACTTGAAATTATTCATAAATGGTTATATATTACATATATTATATAAATAACAATTTATATAAAACCATTTATGAATAATTTAATGTTCACACACACACACATTTTTGAACTGTACACATTCATATAAATTCAAACCTAACATGATGTTTAATAAAGTCTCTATTTTTTGTCAACTAGGAATGTTGTGAAAATCAATCAATCAAATCCATTATTTTTGGAGAACAGGTACATAATATTAAAATACTTTGAAATAGATAAATACAAATGTATTTAACAAAAAAGATGCAATAAATTTCATATGACACCCGACTAGAGCTGTATATATTCCAACTGCAGTCGGACAATGGTGAATTCAGTGGAAAGAGTGTTAGATGCATGTGTGTGTTTGTGTGTTTTTGTATACTCACTACAGGCTTCCTGGAAACACACTATATTGACCCCACACATGGCCGCCACCTCTACCATCTCCCCCACACGCTTGTGCAGAGCTTTGATCTATGAAAGCAAAATTAGAATATGGAGTGTGACGAATTCAAATTAATAATAATATATTAAATTTGTTTTAGCATGTATATGTATGTATGGGCCTGACAGAGCCAAAATGTGCCACCTGGCCATTATATGTACTGTGTACTTCATTCTCTCACCTGTTCAAGCACAGGAGCATCAGGGGGTAAGACTAGCTTGTTCTGAATGAGTCCCACGCGGACAGTTCTGGGTGGTCTGAGCTGCTCTGGAGAAGCCTCAAACACATAACCCTTCAGATCAAAATCTTGCTCAACTGCAGCATCTATTGCACTCTGGGGAAGGTTCAGCTTCCTGAAATGCATGTATTACAATTTTAAATGGCATAAGCTCAATAAAATCTAAAAGCAAACAAATAGGGAAGAGTAGGGATGACTGTAATGGTCAAAGATACATTTGTTTTTCAGTTCAGTTCGTAATTTTACTACACCACAGTTAAACTATAGTTAGTGTAGCAAAACCATGCAATACCATGTGGCAGTACCATGGTTAATGTAGTAAATCCATGGTTAATTTTTGTAAGTGTAGATTTTAAACTGTATTCTCTGATGTTGTTGTATATTTAAAAGTGTTTTTATGCTTTACTAATATCTGAGGCAAATTTTCCATGTTTTCCATGAATAAATTAGCAAAACCAAAAGGGTTTATAGTTATACAATATGCTAAAAAATAAGAATTTATTTCCTTGAACAGGCAAACTGTTTGGCTGTTGTTATTAATTATTAATGTTCTACGTTATTATGTCATGTTTTGGTTTTTTAGTTTCTGGAAATAATGAGAAAATGAAACCAAGGAAAAGCAGTTTATATTTATGGGACATCTATGAGAATGATAAAGTTAGAGCATGTCAGATTTCACGTCAAATTCACATCGTTGACAGACATCAACGACATTCCCAGGGACTCTTTTGTGGCCAAAGTCCACCATAAATCATTTACTCGGTTTCAACTTTTACTAGATGTAGTTACAAAATTAAACTTCTAGTGTAAAAGCTACCTTACATTTGGACAAATGCTAACCGTCTGAACCTGTTAATCTCCTTAATTATGTCAGAGTTGCCTAGTTTCATTATAGAGCATATCCATATAAAGTCAGCCGCCATCGCAGCTGTGTGTGCACTGCAGCTCCCTCCAGTCGTCTAGAATCGACTAATCTAGAAGCGCGTTTGTGACTTACTTCGGCTCTTTTCCGAACAGCAGTCTTCTGACCTCTCGGAGTTCAGCCTCAAGTACATATGTCACCAGAACCTTCTCTAGCGATTCAGTCTTTCCCAGACATTTTGAGCTGCCTGTTCACGACAGAGGGTCCAAAGCGATCCCTACATGATTTGTTGTTAGCCTTCATGTATTACCAAGTCAAGACTGAACAGTTTTCAAACCAAAAGTATGTCCTGTAGGCGTTTTTATGTAGTTTCAAGCAATTTCTGCAGCTGTGCTGCAACACGTTACAGTCCTAATTACAACCATACCTGTCAACCCTCCCGTTTTTCCCGGGATTCTCCCGTATTTTACCATTCTATCCCGCTATCATCCCGTTTAAATATTTTCCCGTATTTTTAATCTTTCTATAAAAAAAAATCCCACTGGGCGTATTTTATATGTTTGCTACATTCGCTTCCGGTAAAACTCCCGTAATTTGCATGGGCCAAACCTCATTAATAATCACGACAACAAATTCCAAGGTTGTCCAGTTGCCAGATCTTGTATGAAACACATCTTTCTCACGCGATCGACGCATACCAATTTCAACCCATTTGTCCCCTCAACTTGGCAACCCACAGCCCAGCGATGCTATTGATATGTGCGCATGCAGTACGCGGGAAGGAAACAATGGGAGAAGATCAGGGCTGCGTTCAGCCCCGACAAAAACGGTGCAAAACGTTCCCTTTCATGGGAACTTCGAACTGCGTCCTCTAGGGGTCGCTATGGGGAACGCCTCGTCGTGACCCGTGTCTGAAGCATACATTGAAAAAACACCAACTCGTTGGCCGGCGACAGCCATGACGTCACTACCGGTGCGACTATAGTATAAATAGGCGCCGGAAGCAACAATAGCAAAATATATAAATATGTATAGTATTTTTATGTTACATTAATCAGTGTCTAGCACACCTTCCTAAGGAAAGGATATGGACCAGAAGACATTGCAATCACTATATGATATTTAGACAGACTTAAAGAAGTTCCAGATCTATACATGTGCTCTTATTATTTCAGTTATTTTGCCTTTAATGTAAATAAACATGTGCAAACAATATACTTGCTCTTGTAAATTTATTTTGATGTTAATTACATTGTGTGAGCTGCCTCTTTAATACGCGTGGTTTATATACATTCTGCTGCTGATTGGGCTGACATTTTTGACACAGCCACCAAACAAGAGAAAACGTATCTCAAACCCCATTGCATACCATTTCCAGGAAACATGTCATTCAACCCGGAAACCGTAGCAAAACGGTGCACACCAGTTTGAGCTTGAACTTGCCCCAGGTGGTGCTCCAGTTAAAAAAAGTAAATATACATGTAAATGTATATTTGTATAATGAGATATAGCTTACACTTCAAAAGGCTATTTAATTGATTAAATATGAGTGCTGCAAGTTTCAAAGTCAGGTGCTGCACTGCTTTGTTTACTGCGGTTACGGGGGAAACGTCTATAATTCTGGCGAAAAGCGCCACCTGCTGGCAGAGAACGAATTAGCATTTTTCAATAAGCCCTTCTGCTCTTTGTTAAGACCAAAGCCAAAAACTACCCTTATTTTTACGCAGAAAACACAAATGTGAACTGGTGGATCGACAAGAAGATAATGAATTATACATCTCTAAAGATATAGCCTACACTGTAAAAACGGTTACGGGGGAAACGGCTATATTCCTGGCGAAAAGCGCCACCTGCTGGCAGAGAATGAATTTGCATTTTTCAATAAGCCCTTCTGCTCTTTGTTTAGTCTAAACTTTAGACCAAAGCCAAAAACGACCCTTATTTTTATGCAGAAAACACGCAGTTGTAAATGTGAACTGGAGGATGGACAAGAAGATAATGAATTATAAAACTCTAAAGATATAGCCTACACTAAGATATATTTATGTTACTAAATGAATATAATTATTTGATAATAATTGTTTAATTAATATAAATATAAAATAATATAAGATTCAGTAAGATTTATTTTAATAAATGCATTTATTTGATGCAGTAAAATCAGTGATATTGTGAAATATTGTTACATTTCACTATATTTTATAATGTACTTTATTCCTCCATTTTTCAAGTTCTCAGTGTCACATGATCCTCCAGAAATCATTCTAATATGCTGATTTGGTGCTCAATAAACATTTAATTATTATGTGAAAGCAGGATATGGATTCTTTGATTAATAGGAAGTTTACAAAACTGAATTTATTTAAAATATAATTATTTTGTAACATTATAAATATCTCTCTTGATCAATTTAATGCATTGTTGCTGAATAAAATTATTATTATTATTTTTTTTTTTTTAAATCATAGTGACCCCAAACTTTTGAGTGGTTGTGTATATACACAAACAAAATTTATTCTTCACATTGATTTATATGACATAACCAATTCTATAAATAAAATATTTACAACATTGTTAAAGAACACAAGGAAATAGTAAGAGAGTGTTTTCAGCTCCGAGGTGTTGTGATGGCTTTCTTAAAGTTGATAGCAGCTTTGATGCGGTTTTGACTGACTCCTCCCCTTTTAGATGCTCCACCCCTTTTGTCCCTCTCCTTTGAAGGATTTGACAGTTTTCTCAGAATCTCTAAATTTAGCAGAAAGAAAGATTACATTAAAGAGAGAACCAACAACTACAGATATTGTGTGAAATATAACAATGATGTTATATTTCTGCTGATTAGTAAGCGTACATTTTATTTTCATTAGATTGGTGGGAAAATCCTTTAAAATAACAATACAATGAAAAGAAGCAGCATGGAGTGTTTTTCTTGATAACAAATTTTTCCTTTTTAATAAATTATAGATTAATGAATGAAAAATAGAAGCATTGCCTGCTAGCTCAGGGTAACTTGTCCCAAAGTCATACACTGCAGTATACTTTGGACCTTCACTGCCTTCACCTCCTGCATAAGAGAACATACAAAGCTGTATTTACTGATGTTTTCCGTAAAGTTATTGTGATATCTGATGTACCTGAAGTTGGTGAGGGCAAACTCACGTGATACACGTAATGGAATATAGCTCTCTCTCTCCTTCAGCAAACTGCTGACGAGGTCGGTGCTCTGTGCTCTCTCTGCCAAGTTCACCAGCTCTCCCATCCTGTCCATCAAGTCCACAGTCTCTATAGAGAACAGAACAGGTCTTTTTTTTTAGATCACCAACAGTGATCTGTTTGGCATCAAATTAACAGTTAGTAGCTTAGCAAGTGTGTTTCTGATTTTAAGTGTTGCTTGGAGTTGAACAAACCCCAGACCCTAAGAATAAAACTTCACTGCTTTTTTTTTTTTTCAAATCTAACAACCACTAGGAGCACCTTAGCAACCACATAGCAACGGCACAGCAAGTATCTGCAACCCCCTAGCTAGCATCATGGCGTTGTGTTTTGCACAGGTAGAAACAACTTATATATACTTCATAAATGTAAGAATCTAATTTAAGCATTGATGTAACTCAATTCATTTTCGATGTCAACCCAGCTGAAGCATACTTTAATTTACCTTGGGGATCTAGATTGCATTTTTCTTTTATACAGTGGATGAAGTTTATAACCTTGCAGTTTAGGTTCAGTATCTCCTCTCTTCCCTCTGTAAGAAATATATATTTGAAAACATTCCAACCATAAAAGCAAAGGAACTTTGCTATATTATATAAAATTATAATGTGAATATATACACTACTGTTCAAAAGTTGGGGGTCAGTAGAATTATTTTTTTTTAAATAAATAAATGAATGCTGTTATTCAGCAAGGAAGCATTACATGGGTCAAAACTGACAGTAAAGACATTTGTTACAAAGGATTAGAATTTCTGTTTCAAATAAATGCTTTGTATTCCTCAAAGAATCCTGAAGAAAATGCATCACAGTTTCCATAAAAATATTAAGCAGCACAACTGTTTTCAACATTATTAACAATAAGAAATGTTTCTTAAGCAGCAAATCGGCATATTAGAATGATTTCTGAAGGATCATGTGACACTGAAGACTGGAGTAATGATGCTGAAAATTCAGCTTTCCATCACAGGAATACATTTTAAAGTATATTGAAAATAGAACAGCATTATAAAAAAAATAATTAAAAAAAATACTATTTCACAATATTTTACAATATTACTGTTATGATATAATAACGTTCTAATATGAATAGGCTATATATATCAATTATCCTGCACTTACCACCAAATATCACAGTAATGAACATCTCAGTCTTAAGATGTGATGTTTTCAACTGCTTACTGTTCCAGCAGCCTGCAGTAATGAATGAGTCTGTTCACACAGTAGGAAAATAAAAGCCAGTTAAATGTTGTTGACGACAGCTATACCTAGAGACAAAGCCCTGGTTTATGAGGAATGCTGTGGAGTTCTACAGTACTGAATGTAATTGGCAGACTAGACTCAGTGTAATCAGAATATTATCCTGCTGTGCCACCACTGAACTATGGATGAACTCCCCTCCTGGCCTAGAATCTGCATTATATAAACAGCACCGTATTACCCGGCTACATTTTTCACTCACTACTCACTGTTTTGTTTTTTTGTTTTTGTTGGCTCTCTCTTTCTGTAACCCCCTTGAAAAAAGAGGAGAGAAGGGACTCTTTTTTTATGAAGCAGACCAGGCTGATTTGTCTCCATGGAGTTAGTACACAGACAGACAGGTTCTTTGATACTTTGAAGTATTTATCCAGGACATGTCTAGTTGAGTGGGGAACAGATCTATAGTCTTTTTCCCATGACTTTAAATGCAACAGTAAGAGAACAGCCCAAGTCCTTCCCAGTTGTGGCTATTTCAGTACTAACTTGGGAAAAAATTTGTTCCATAAGAAATGAGTCTTAAAGGATTAAGAGGTTAGCAAACTTAATTCATTTAAATGTCTGTTGCAGTTTTGTCCCTGTACTTCAGGACTGGGCATCTTCGGTCCTGGAGGGCCACTGTCCTGCAAAGTTTAGCTCCAACCCTAATCAAAAACACCTGCCTGTAGCTTTCTAGTGATCTTGAACACACTGATTAGCTTGTGCAGGTGTGTTTGATTAGGGTTGGAGCTAAACTCTGCAGGACAGTGGCCCTCCAGGACCGAAGTTGCCCAGCCCTGCTGTACTTTAAACTGCATGAATCTTGAGTAGAAGTTCATTTTTGGAAGTGAATGGCCTTATAGGTACATGCATTCACATAAAGATATTTATACCGTAATAACAAATAACAAAATATTTCTATTTCATATAAATGCTGTTATTTTGAACTTTCCGCTCATCAGAAAAATCCTGACAAATGTATCAAGGTTTCCACAAAAAAAATATTAGGCTGCACAACTGTTAGAAAAAAGAAAACAAAAAAGATAAGATAACAAATGTTTCTCAATTTCTGGAGAATCATGCCACACTGCTGAAAATTCAGCTTTGCTATCACAAGAATAAAGCACTTTTTAAATTATATTCAAATAGAAAACTGTTATTTAAAATTGTAATTATGTTTCACAATATTACTGTTTTAATGTATTTTCATCAAAAAAAGAAGAAACAAAAATTTTAAAATGACAACATTTTTAACAGTATTGTAAAAGCATTATAAAAACGCCCAATTGTGTCATAAAATATATTAGTTTACATTTTTTCCCCCATCACACTTGTAAAATTAATTAAAATTATAATTAAAATATATTTTTTGTCATCTTGAGGCCCCCTTAATTGGGAGCTGAGGAGCCCTAGTCGTCTGGTTGAGAACCACTGTTTTATAGCACCATTGCTGATTCACAATCCTGTAAATCTAGCCAGAATAACAGCCGATGAGACACAGACAGCAACTCCATGACAACATAGGCTTGAGCAGTCATAAACTCAGATTCCTATTATACTCAACTTTGCTTTCAAGGAAAAAAAAATGTTATCAGTGTGTAAACATCATCAGCTTCATCAACAGGTATTTTCCACAAATCTAGCTGTGATATGAAGCCCTCTATGACCTTTATGTCACAGATTAGACCAATCAGCCTGTTTGCTTAGCTCAATAAAACATAGATGTGTGCCAAGGGTTACTATGTTTTATATATACACATATACTGTATACACTACTAGTATACACTACAAAAGTTTGGAATAAACACAATGTTTTAGTGGTTTTGAAAGAAGTCTCTCACGCTCACCAAGGCAGCATTCATTTGTTTACAAAAAAGGTTAAAACTTAATATTGTGAAATAATATTACAATTTAAAATAACTGTTTTCTATTTTAATAAATTTAATAATGTAATTTATTCCTGTTATATCTAAATAGTTATTGCAGCAGGACTATTCTATATCTGAGGTACAAATTGCTATTGTTGATAAGATGATCCAAAAGCTCCGCTGGCAGACATGGAGACGAGCCCAGAAGTCATAATCAGAGTTCATTAGGAAGATGGGAGTGAATGCTGCATATTCAGATGAGAAACACAGGTTCATTTAACATCCTTTTGTGTCAACACACAATGAGCTTTTGTTTGGAATAATTTGAGCTGGATAACTGTGAAAGTTTTTTTTTTGTGTGTGTAAAACTCTGTGTAAAATCCTCAGGAGCTTTTCAGCTTTTCAGTTTTTGAGCGTGTAAAACTGATTCAGTTCAAATCGAATTGGTAAAACAGTAGTCTGCCTGCAAGCGATTCAATCTGAATCAAGCGTGTTTGAAGTAAAGCTACCCTCTATATCTACATTTGCATGTCTCTTGTATCTATATCATATGTGGAGCACGGTTCAGAAGAATGATAATGCTACCCTAAAATACTCTAGAAATCTCTTGAGATGCACTAGTGCACCCTTTAACCTGGAATCTTTTGGGACTTGGGGAACAGGCTGGGAAAGATACAATGTTAGGATTCATAAGACCCTTCAGCGTGTGATCGAGCACAGCTGCCCAAGAGAGGGACTCTCCCGGGATGACCACTTCATGTCTCCATGTCTGGAGACTCCTTCTTTGGAAGGAAAATAGCAAATCATTTTATAGCCTGCACTTAAGCTATATCACACACTTGGCCAAGTTGTTTACCTATAGTTTTATATCAAATATTTAAGCAATATTATGAGCAATAGTGCTTAATATATACAACTGTTCAATAAACATTAGTTTTTGAGTAAATTACAGAATATTGCCTGTTTCTTTGTCTGTTCTTCCTTTGTCTGTTTCAAACACAGCCGCAACATCACAGTAGAGTGTTTTGTTCCTGAATGAATCAATGTTCCCATTTAGTCGGTTCACTCAGTACAACTCATGCCTATGGGATATCGCGCTCTTGCGCCATTTGCTGAAGACACCTTTATTCAAGCCTGAAAGGCCAATAACGCATGACGACGTGGGCGGGGCTACCTGCCCACAGCATATAAATGCAGTCGCATACGTCATTCCTTTTGTTCTTCAGCTCTTCACCGTGCTGTTAACACCATCACGCCACATTCACAAGAAAACCCAGTGGTGACTCTTGTTGAAGAGAAAGGCATAAAAGAGAAGTTTTTAGCTCGAGTTTAGCACAGCGAAGAAATGGCTAATATACTTTTTCATGAGAAATGTCTGAGCATAAGATCTAACCCGTCCTATGGCATGTGGGTGTTTATGGTCACAAGCACTCTTGCAAAGCTTGCGGGTTCTGTTTGAAACAAGTGATGAGAACCTCCCTGCCGATCAGTGTTGGGCAGTAACTAGTTACTAGTAACTTAGTTACTTTAATAATATTACTTTTTGCAGTAACTAGTAGTGTAACTAATTACTAATAAGATTTCAGTAATAATATTACAGTTACCATTCATAAAACAGCTTAGTTACTTAGTTACTTTTGATGCCTCAACCCCGCTGATTTCAAATCCAACAATCAAATAATTCCTCGATTTATTTTCATAATTTTCACGACTCACACATGCATGTGATGTCCCCAGTGTAGCAGGCAAGCTTGGAATATGGAAAAGTTTACATTCAGCAGATATAAATATTGCATTATATTGATTTTGTCAGGAAAAAAGATGATCTGAACACTGTTGTGTATGCACGACTCAGTAGTCGCTTCAGTCGAAGTAACCTGAGGATCCTATCGCTATGTGCCGTTTATATAGCCAGATGACCCCGCCGATTCTAGCTCCGCTGCCGAGCCATTGGTTCGTTTTGAATACACTGCACGAACCAATGGCCGTGCAGTTACACTGCGTTATTAAAAGGCTTCAGTCATCGGAGAAAAAGGAGTTTTTCCCCAAAGCGTCTTAAACAGATGCAGTACTCGTTCTGTATCTCAGGGAACCGAGGTTACGTTAGTAACCGAGTACATTCTCCTCAGCAAGGTGGCATTTCGGGTGGTGCCATAAGGGAAGATGGAGGAAGAGGGTTTTTCAGCCATTACTTCCTCCTCCTAAAGAAAAGGGGTTTTTCCACCCTATTCATGACAGTTGAACAAGCACTTAAGGTATTACACATTCAAAATGCTTTTGTCACCTGTCATGCCCTCTGTAAAGCACGGGATTGGCTTACATCGGTGGGTTTACCCGATGCATATGGCCACCCATGGCACAGGACATTTCTGAGGTCTCCGTCGAGGGGGTTGCCTACAAGTTTTTGGTCCCTAGTGCCACGCATATCTGTAAGATATAAGACATAAGGTAAACGAGGGCCCCTGGGCCCCGCGCAGTTGGAGGCTCGGTGAAGAGCTGAAGAACAAAGGGAATGACGTATGCGACTGCATTTACATGCTGTGGGCAGGTAGCTGTATACTATGATGAGGCAGAAAGAACTGGCATAAAACTCAAGCAATGGGTTGATGTGAAATCAAATGTTTCATGAACATTGCTAGAGCATTACAATATCTTGTTGCAAAAGAGTGATGTTTAATTTAGATAATAAACTTTCCACAATTGCGAACAAAATAAGGCAGCAAAAGTAATTTTAGTGTAAACAAATAGTCAGTGAAATTAGGTGTTGAACCTTCAGGAAATGTTGATTGTCAGCCACATGCAATTTTCTGTTCATTTTATGAGATTTGCAGATTTTGCAACCCATTTACCAACTTTATGTCTAAACACAGTGACTATGAAAAGTTGCAGTCAACAAGGCTAAAATAACTATTTTAAGTGAACAGGCATTCAGTGTTTAAAATTAGCTACTTTTATGCTAGGCTACATTTATATGATATATAACTTATCTAATAGTTCTCAAAACAAAAACCAAGGGATGTGTGCCCTTAATATAATAATAATAAAAAAAAATAACGGGACTCAAAAAATTTATCCTATTTGTGTAAAGTGTCTCATAGAAAGAAGAGAGTCAAAGAGTAACACTGCTTAAAACCTTTCGTAGAGCCTACAAATACGCAGCCAAAATACATGGCATGAGTTGCAATGCTACATGCTAGCTTTATGAAATACAGTCTTGCTGACTAACTTTCATTAACATGCTTTCATTAATAATAGTTTTTCATTTCTGTGTTAATTGTTTTTGAGAGCATTGAATTTAGTTAAGAGAGATATCTCTAATCAGTTTTACTGTTCTAATTTTCTGTGAATACACATGAATAATTACTCAAAGTAATTAATTAATAAAACTATTTATTTATTTTGTACTAAAGAAATTCCAATTCAAAATCCTGTGACCAATTCCAGTTCCAACTCATGAACTGAAAAGGAGATTTTTAGAATTCACAATTTTTACATTCTTAAGATTGAAAAAAAAAAGTCATAAAAAAATGATTTTAATTTTGATGCTCTTTAATATGTTTACATTATCATTACAGTCATAACAATACCAAACTGTACACACTCAGTTCTGAGCTGCTACAGGTCCACAACAATGTCAAATCCTTAAAGAAGCAAAAATATGTACTTTGTATTTCATATTTTAGCCCATCATTTTTTTCGAAGCAGCAAATAAATAATTAGAATCCATCATTCAGAGTGT